TAGCACTACGAGAAGCTAAGAAAATTTCCAGTTGTGACAATCAACTAGAAAGCTCTTGGCAAGTAATAAATTTCGTACTCTTGTCTTTTCATTCCATCTTGGAAAGCTTTGCCCTCGAGCTTCACTGCTATTATCAACCCTGATTTACTTTCTTCTCAGTTTATTATCTTTATTAATCGGTCAACGTATCTACTCTGATTATTTCACGTATAAATAAGCGTATGTCGCTTATTATCATTTAATCTTTATTATTTATTTTGACGGAGTCTTGAATTTTATACGATACTAACAATAAAAAAAAAAAGACGATACTGTACACTGTGTGATCGATCGATCTAATCAATATTTTATGTATAAAAAAAGTTATCTATGAATTGATTATTTCATTGGTAAAACAATTCTTCATACTATACGATTTCTATAATATTTCTCTTCTTTAAGCAAATTTAGTTTTAGTAATAAAGGGTATTATTAATTTACTTTTTTTGATAATTGAATAATTTTATTATATATTATCACATATATTGCATATAGAAACAGATATATATATATTTATGGTATATTCGCATTCGTGTATGTATACACATATATGCAAGTACGTGTTTATATTTATGTTTATATCATATTTTTACTTACATTGTTCAAAGGTGAATTTTTGTAGCAAATATTAATAAACTTATAAATTAAATTATAGCTGATAGGAGCGAAACATAATAAAAATAATATTTATTTATGTAGATAATATTATCTCTTTCATTATATTTCTATTACGTCGGCTGCCATCGAATTCATTTATTTTCATTTATTTATTAAGCTTTTTCATCCGACATACAATTTCAAACATTGTAATTGAAAAAATAATAAATACACCGATTGAATACAAATCAACACAGAAAAATTAATTAATATACTGATTCTCGAAACTTTTGTTCTAATTTTAGATATACCACAATAAGTAATGCATTTTAATCATAGTAATATTTTAATATTTTCATAATAGAATATTTTAAAATAATAGTAAATTAAAATTGACTAATTAACTTCTTTCATAGACATATTATTACAATATAATTAATTTAATATCTATCGAAAAATTGCAATTATTTAACTTTTTCTTCGTATTGCAATAATCACATGAATAAATTTCCATGGTTGCAATTCATTTTAAGATCTAAACTCAAACAATCTCTAATTTTTCTGAGCAACAATAGTTTAATTTATCCGAGATCAGATTCGAAATCGCTTTCATCTCTTCGTATACATATATATATATATATATATATATATCATTCTATGCCTTGAATATCATTCGTTTTTATGGTTTAAGTGTACGTAATTTGCATTCATCACATTATTGCAAATCAAATTTTAATTCGCCTTCACTAATAAACATCCTACTTTGTCAGTAATGAATCGTAATTTTCAAGATGATTATGAAATTGAAGTCTAAAAAACGTTATAGACCTTCAATGAGGGTTGGATGAAAAACTGAGTTTGAAGTTCCTTCGATATAGAAAAAGTACTAAAAAGAGTTATTTTCTTCGTCTCACTACGAATATTTGTTTCCAGAAACTCCATCGTCGTCCAAAGTCGTCAAATCTGGGAGTTTCGTTCTCTAATGAACCGCCGCCTATAACTTCGAGAAATCGGTTTCAGCTTTCTATCGAAAACAATTATAGAAAAAAGAGAATCGGCGGATGTTCCTTCTCGCTTCAAAATTTAATTTACGTCCTAAAAAACAGTACATTCACTGTCTATTCACTGAGTGACGAACAATGATAGATGATAAAATTTTTTTCTTTTTTGAATAAATTTAGCGTATATAAAAAGTTTATATATTTTAAATTGAATTTTATAATTATTTAAATAGAGGTATCCTTTTACGATTTGTACTGTAAAATAATGTAATATATAATGATACATAAATGGTAATAGATTATATAATATTAAAAGCAACGTTTTCAATATTAAATATAGTTTAAATGAAATATAAATTTAGTTTTTTTTTTTAATAATATCTTCCTAATAAATGAATACTAATGTTTAAAAAAAAACAACACAATTTTATAGAAATTGTTATAAAAAGATAACATAAAAATTATTCAATTAAATTACATGATAATTGAAACATTCGACTACACATTTAGTTTAATAAATTGTAAATAAATATAACTGAATTTGATATAATAGAAATACGTTTTCATGTTTACAAGACCGATAAATCAATAACGTATAAAATCAAGATAATAAGATATTCTAAGAAACATTAAATATAAAGCTATTATATTAATATCTTAATTTATTATTATAATTTTACATAAATATGAACCTACCATAGTTGTCTTATTAAATATATAATTCTATGTAATAAGCAATAGTTTATTAAAAGATGTATAATCAATACTAGGATATTAAAAGGTGATTTTGAGATAGAAATAAATATATATGCTCGATAATGTTGAGTGTTAACAAAATTAATAATTAATTTGACAAACTTTTCTTAGATCGTGCTCGGTAAAGTGTAAGAAATTCTTTTCTTATCATTATCGAGGAAAATGTTTTTAAGAAAATAAACAATTAGTATATTCGTTTTTTTAATCGTAATATCAACGACATAATTATACAAATCTAGCGCTAACTCTCATAATATTACCAAAAAAAAATTCAATGTATATTATAATTCGCACAGATTTATGCTAAATTTTTAATTAAAATTTATTCAATGGTATATCGCTAATTAACTAATTATGCAAATTTCAATTAAAACCTATAAAAGAGTTTTTAGGTAGTTTTATAAGACATTCAGCAAACAATTTATTCGAATTAAAATTAATTGATTTGCTGTAAGTCGATAATGTTAAAAGGGAAAATCCGAAAAGGAAGACGTATTTACATACAAACTAACTTTCGTTACACAACTACAATATCATCAAACTATTCATATTCATATCTTTTGTACACCTTAAGGATTTTAATACATTATGATATAAATGATATTTGTATTATCTGCGGAATAAATAATGTTGCGGCTGTTAATTTTGAAAGTAAAGCATTTTTTATGTTTATAAAAAAAAAAAAAAAAAAAAAAAAAGCTTTCTTCTAATAAAACCTACTTTACAAGTGACAGACTAATGGGATGAAATCTGAAAGAAAATAAGAACAAAACTAAACTTGCGTATTTAATACGAAATTGTACCAAAAATATGCTTGCAAATAGGATATAAATTCTCAGCAATTACAAAAACAAATAAAAATTAAAACTTCTGAGTATCTCAATTTATGCATTCGAATTATTATTTGAATTTTACTTTATGAGAAAGATAAAATAAAGAGTGATGTTTAATATTTTGACATAAAAATTTGGATTACATTTTATATTAAGTTTATTACAACGTATACTGCGACATTAATTTGTAAGCAATTATTTTTCTCAGTCTTATTATTAATGAAATATTATTCACTCTTAACATGCAAAATTATTTTGTATTCTCATTACTTTGGAAATGGTTAATAATTTATAAAAATAAATACGATATAATTTCCGAAACAGACACTCATATTTTATAAAATGTAACTTAAACAAGTAACAATAAAGTTTCTATTTTATAGTTTCCCACTTTAATTTACGCTACTGCAAATGGCTCTATACAAATAAATTATAAATACAACTATGTAAAACATAATTAAATATTCTTTTGTAGATAATAATATCCACGGTGTTTTGAGAAGAAAGTAAATATTTACTCAAAAATTTCGGCGCGAATATCTGAATACTGTAAATGGCTAATGATTTTTTATATTTTAAAAATTAAAAAATTTAGATTTACTTCCTGAAAATTCATCGTGCGAAAGGTAATGAATTTTAATTATGACAATATTTGAAAGACACCTTCATTTTTTTTTTTTTTTTTTTTGTAAAATTTAATTTCTCGATCCTGAGCCTAAGACTAACTATATCATATAGAATACAGTCTATGTCATTTTATAGACAATTACGTATCTGTACATATACGTTTGCAAATATGTTTATTTATGAAAGTTTTGTAAACTTCGCAGACAAAACTACTTAAAACTACTTATCATGCTTTTGCTAAGAGAAAATCAGAATTATGTGTTATTTTAATTTCGTAATTGTTCATTAAACAATATTTATAATCTGATTTTCCAATATTTTACAATTAGTATAAGCATATTTTTATCCGAATTATTTGAGGTAAATAATTATATATGGTGAGCTGCATAATATACAATTTAGTCTTGAGTAATTTTGAATTTGTAAGAAGAAATTATATTTTCTGCTCGTTACATTGACAATTTGCTATACACAAAAATGCCTGCCAACATTTATTCAAATAAACAAATAGTTCTTTAATACAAGAATTGGAATAGAAATGAAATTTTATCGTTAGTTTAAACATTTATTCTACATTCCATATGCAATTTATAAAATGCACGTGTGCATTTTTTAATTAAAAGCTTTTTAAAAGAAATAAATAAATAAATTCCCCCTTTCCTTTATAATATAACTGAATTTTATGTAATATTATAATAATTTTACTTGTAGAAATAAATTACTTTTTATATAATTAGAGATGAGAGAGTATGTTCAAAATAGAGATACAATATGAGAAACAAGATTTTTCTATATGAATTTCAAAATTTTTCAACAGCTAAACTTGAAAATTCAAGTAAAAATATTTTGCCTATCGCACCTTAATTACTCCCATGACAAACTTTTTGAATCGAGTAATTCGACATACAGGTATTCCCATACTTTTGCTTGCTCATGATTTGAATGAAATAAGTCGCGATCCGCTGTAAAATCTATAATCACGCGACAATTAATGGACCGGACTAATTACTTAGGCTAGATGAACTTGATGCAATATTAATAATTTCCGCTGATAATGGATTCGAGCACGATTCCCTAATTCCCTAACCGCTGAAAAAAGTTGCCTATCGTCGAAGTCGAGGTAGCTAAGAAAAACGACAGTACTCACCTCGCTATCGGCACTCCGTACTGTCAATTCACCTCGTGACATCGCTGAGAGTAGGACAAGTACCATCTCGGCCATCCTCGACCCATGACTCTGGCAGGTGTCAGGAGCCGAGGGGACCCCGTCGCATTCTCTCAGGCACCTCCAGCACCACGAGCACCACGAACAACAGCAGCCGCTGGTTGGCGCACCAGCGGCGCCCGACAACAATCTCATTCCCGACCCGCCGACCCGTTCGCCAGGTCGTCTTAGGGGCCGAGTCCGAGATCCAACCACCGGCTTAGCATCCCGGTCCCGATCGGGAGTTCTCGAGTTCGCCGGGGCCGAACACCGGAGGCGCGACGAGGTTCTCGATCTCACGCTGCGGCGATCGAAATTTAGCGCGCGAAACCGATTCAAAACATGTAGGGAGGCCGACTTTGCCGGTCGACTCCGACAGGAACGAACAGAAGAGGATGGGCAATACCGAATAGAAGATGGATTGAGGCACCGCTACGGGTGGTACGAACTTGGAAGAAGCGAGCCGGCGAAAGACGATGCGAGAAGACGGGGCAACCGAGAGGGTGAACCGAAGATCCAGAGTACCGTGGCAGTACTGCGCTCGCAACCTACAGCTTTGACAGAGGATGGCTATTGCCACGGCGGTGGCGGCGGTGGCAGCGGTGACGGCGGCGGCGGCGGCGGTGGCAGTAGCCGCGCGAGGCGCCGGTGCGTTAGCAGCCGCAACGTCGAGGGGTGGGGCGCAGGCGCGCCACCCACCCTTCCCCTTGTTAACCGCTCGTATCCTTGCATGCTGTCTCTCTCTCTCTCCTCTCATCTCCTCTCTCTCTCTCTCTCTCTCTCTCTCTCTCTCTCTCTCTCTCGAGCTTTATCCCGATCCCTACCCTTGCGAGACCTTAGCGGAAAAAAAGTTTTGGCGCTGCGAAGATGCGGCACTGCTCTGATTGCCCTTAAAACTTCCGTTCCCAAGTGCAAGTATATATTGGTTTAAGACGCTTTTTAACGCGCCGACGAATTGAAGTGGAAATCCTTTTTAGTGGGCCATGATAGAGTGAGAAGACAAAGAGACGATCGGTTGATGAGCGGATTTGGAGTTTATTTGCGTGAAAAGATCGAACGAAAAGTTTTGCGCGTCTGTTAAAAATGTTTGGAATGAATGATGTATGGATTGGGAGAAGAAAAAATGTTGACAACTACTTGGTGACTTGTGTACTTAAACGATATCATTTAGATGAAGTAAACTGACATGACATTTATTATGACACGATGAGGGATAATTGTTTTATGGCATGCAATTAATCATTTCATATTTACATAACGTGCCATCTAATAAGTACATCTATTACTTGGTTGTATTATCTCGTCGATATACCTTTCTAATTCCTTCCCAAATTACATTAATCGAAAGAAGAAAAAATGTTGGCATTTAAAGGACTAATATGTAATATAAATACTAATTGTCAGAAAAGGAAAGGAATATCATATCGTATATAGCCAGTTAATAAGGCGATGTTTGTTTTTCCAAGTAAACAATGCAATTCGCCCCTTCAATGTTATTTATAATGATGAAATTTGATATTTAATAGCCGTTTATGCTCATTCCTCCCTACATGATTGATAATATCAATAGGCCTACATATATCTTTATTTCAGCAAAAGTGTCAATTTAAAAAAAGAAAATTTACGTCAAAGGAATGAATAATGTACAGATTACAGTGAAATAACGCTATCGCAAGTTATATTACATAGAGCAAAATTAGTAATATTTCAGTGTTTTAAAATTATCTTTGAAATAATGGATAAAGTTGTAGAGAAATAAACTTCTATTATTTCTCTTTATGAACTAAGCTTCGTTAATAAAAACATAATTTTTCCCCAAAGTATATTTTTAACCGGTTGAATCTTTTATGCAATATAATGTCTCAGATTGTAGTTCATAGAGATGGATAAAATAATAATAGTTTCTCGATGCTATATAGTAAATATAAAAATTTTAACTTCTTTAAATGTTAATGTATGAGAAATAAAACACTCTCATCAACTTTAAAATGAATATTATAATAAAAATTTTTGATACTTAAATAATTATTAAGCTATAAAAATTCTTAACCAATTGTATTAAGTTAATAGAAAAGGACAAGGAATTTTTCATGTTTACAATGAAAAATCTATTTCATTATGTAAAATACGAACGGACTCGCATATCAGCTGCTCCATACGTAAAAATATATAATGTTCATATTTGCTACAAATAGTTAACTCGCTTTACATGTGCCAATATCAGCTACTTTCTACTATTGAACGTATCCTAAATTTTTATAACTATTTTATATCATTTTTATACTTAAAACATTCATATAATTTCAATAACAGTATAACTTTTACAATATAATATTTATTCATTCGAATAAATAAATTGAAATCTCAACCATTTCTTATTCCTAGAAATAATTCACTTATTCATATTTTTATTATCGAGTAGAATGAAAAGAAAAAATTTTTTTTTATATCGAATGAGTTGACCACCACCTGCTCCCACTATCCTTCTGTCTCTCATTTTTGTTATTCATTTTTTGTCTGCAAGACAAAAATGTGTGAATATGCATTACTGATGCTTTCATGCATTGCTGAATTCTATCACGAACAACTTATAAATATAATAAGAATAAAAAGCATCGAGCAATCAGAAGTCACGTATTATTGAATTATTATAAATAGAGATGAGAATGATAAATTTAATCCTAATAATCAATGTGCTTTATATTTACATGGACCAATAAGAAATTAAAAAATTACTCTTCCTACACAATATTAATCATAATATGCTGTAAAATTGTAAAATTTATAAAAATTGATTTTCAAAAGAAACATTGGAATTCTATTACATATAAATAGGAATAAATCATTTGAAACAGTAGAAAAAAAACATACAATTAAACATTCATTGCATCGTGTAAGTATTCTCAATAGCGGACTTTTCCTTATTTGGAGCGTTTAGTTTATACGCGAAAGATAATAAATAATGTATTATATAAAACATAATTATCATTATATAATAGTTCATTACAAATAATGAAATAATTTTATTGTAACAAACATTATATCGAATAAAACTTTACCAGGATCTCAATGAAGAATAGAAAAATAATTTTAATACAAATTTTCTACGTATTTGGAAAAGTAAAAACTATTGTATGACTATTGTATTATTAATGTTATTATTTGAATAATCACATTTATTATTTATTACCCTTTATATTATTAGTTCATTTACAATTATGACAAATTAAAAAAAAAAAAAAAAAAAAAAAAAAACTTTTATTCAACAAGAATTGGAAAATTTTTATCTATTTTAAAATAGAAATATAATTTCAATTTAAACAGGAATTAAACTTGGAATTCATATATAAAAATTAAAGATAAATTACTTATGTCAATAAATTATGTGAAATTTGTTTCAGATACTCATCGGTAAATTTTAATTGCAAAAATTTACCAACTTTACTCGATATTCGTGTTTCAATTTTATAACGTTCGAATGAACGTAAAATCCAAGTGTATAATAAATCTATTACAACTATATAATATTTAATTTTGTTTCGCGTAAAACAAAAATTTTGAAAATACTGAATTATATGTAAATACATAAGTAAAATCATCGTTTGATATTTTACTAATAATTTATTAAAGTCTAACTATACATAGAACTAAAGAAAATTCATATTTATTCAAATAATAAATTTCAAGAAAACTGAAACGAACAATATAGCGTACAATGACATAATTTCAACATGCGAATGATCTTATCAACTTATTTTCTCTGGATTATTTCTATTTAAATTAATGCTTCTTCATCGATATGTAATAGCAACAGACGAGATATTTGCGCTCCAATGATGCGTGAAAATGAATTTTCCAAGTCTTGTAGAATCGTAGGTAAATCAGAATGCCAATTAAATTGCTCCACGACAATTGAGTCAAGAGAGCGAATGAATGACTTAATATAGAATGCAGATTTTAATTTATTTACTAGAAATAAGAGACTTTATTATTTAAATATTTATTTAAATATTACTATTAATATAAATGATATGTATATAAACTTTTAATATTATTACTTCTTCTTCTTTTTTTTTTTTTGTAATATACATACATATTTATATTAAAAAAAAATGTTTTATTCGTATGATTACAAATGTTTAAAATTAAATTAATACTATTTTTATTGAAGTAATATTTTTAAATTAAAATTAGGTATAAACTTGATTAATGTAAACAGTTTATAATCTAATATTCGAAAAAAAATGTTTTAAATACTTTTACAAATATTTATATTTTACAGATACTCATAATTATTTTTACAATTCCTAATGAGTTGGCAATAAAATTGAAAGCTAGAGTTGTAAAATATAAATACTAATGGTTAAAATTATACATAATTGCTGTGAGTAAAATAATATTATACGAGTTTAAAAAAGAAAAAACTTGTTTCTACGATTTTTCTCATTTTTATACTACATATAGCACGGTAATCAGAATTAAAAAAAAAATTAACGAAAATACTAATAACATTTTGGCAATAAATATGCAAATAATAATAATAACAGTAACATTAAGAATGAAAATTGTATTATCTCAAATGAATCTATGTAAATGTAATCAAACATTTATTTTTCATAAGGAATTTTTAAAACGTTAAGTACTCGTATGAGGTAAACGATTGATTATTTAAAAAATAATAACTGTGAATTCTTTTCTTTCGTTCAAATTGTTCTAACAATTTATTCATTCAAATATGATGGATACTCAATTTTCATTTGTATCAATAAATATTCAAAATGAAATGACTCCAATCCATAAATAAATTTATGTTACCAGGAAATTTACTGACATCATCGTAGAATTATTTTTTACATTAAAAACAGTGGGATGCTATTATATTCTTATAGATACAACTGATATGTTACTGCTATAAAATAAAGTCATAAAATTTTCTTTTATTTCTGGATCATCTGAAATCATGACTGCTATTCTAAATATCAATTGTTTTTATTTACACATAATAAATTATTCTTTAAAGAATACGAAGTATACGGATATTTCTGTTACTATACAATATGAATTATATTTTTATGAAAAAAATTTTTTTAAAAAAAAAAAAAAAAAAAAAAAAAAAAAAACTATAGTAACAACATTATTTATTGACAAATAATATTAATTGAAAGTACGTTGAGAACATAATTATACATAATAAGTTAACTACAATCGAATGAATCAGCCTCTTATAAACAAATATATCGAAAAGCTAATCTAAACCGTAAATGTTTACAGAGATTTAAACGAATTTATTATTCGTTATGTTTGTACAATATCGATCATCCTATAAACGTAATTTAAGGATTCAATCGAAAAATTAATTCTGTTTAAATTCAACCTTAAAAGATTGTTTATATTATTTCGTACTTGGCGACAAAAATTTATAAAAGCAACAATTTAATTATTTCTAATCAAATAAAATAACAATATCAGTATTTTTTTTTGATAAAAATGTATTGTATATTTCAAATATTTTAATAAATGTTATATATAAATTTTATCTTACGAGTGTTTAGTTAAATTAATTTGAAATAAATATTGTTATTAGATAAAATTACCTATAAGAAAAATTTTGTATTTTTTATTTAAATTTTATTTAATTTAATATTATTTATTTTAATACTATCGTCAGATATAATGTATTTATAAAATTAATCGATTTAATAAATTCCTAAATTATTCTTCATGCAAATTTATTAAATTGATTATTAAAATATGCCAGTTCAAAATACTATATTAAACATAATGAGAGAAATATTTGTATTTCATAGTAATTCGTCTACTTAAGTATTTTACTTATGTTAGTTAGTTTGAAAATAATATCAAGGGTAATAGGAAATATTTTCTTTTAATGTTCATTTCTCCAATATTTATTTAAATGTGATGTATGAAACTGTAATTTCTTGAATCTGTAAATTTTGAAATAATTTATAATTAAAATCATTTAAAACCGAAACTTATGAGATTCTATTATAAAAGTTCGAGGCTGTGTTATCGATATTTTTGATTTTCATGTTTTTCCGAATTTCCACTACATTCATGAAATGTCTATTAGGCAACTACATTTAATAACGTATAGTTTAATTAGAATAATAATGAAACAATAAAGACAAACGGTTGAAAGAGGCATAGGACGGTGATAAAAAAAATTCACTCTTCGTGAACAATTACACTCTTTTTACCAAAATTGAACCAAAAAGACTATAATCGATATACTTTAGATATATTATCGAATATATGTTACTTTATTCCTCCACCTTCGTTGCGTGTCTTCTATTTAACGTCAATATTGCTCGACGCCGTCGTCGAACAAAAGCCGAAAGTAAAGTTTATCAGTTGCCTCGACAATGAGGCTTGCCATCCACACGCGAAAACTAAACCTCTCACACCAAAGTACATTTTATCCACGTACCATGAGGAATACCTATAGAAATTTATGTTTACAGCGTTTATGGTTGTTCTGTACTTTAGCTTACATAAGTAATGTTGATATAAGCTCATGCTGAATTTATATGAAAGTAAGCATACAACTATTTACTTTTGAAGAACATTTTCACAGAAGTGAAACTTATTTTCAAATATTTAGCTATTTTATAGAGAAAGTATTTGAAAGTCGGTAAATAACTTGATACGTGCATTCGGAGATGAAACAAAATTTACATGATTCAGTTATTGATTTGGCCAACACATTCCAAAGACCATTACAAATAACTACTTCTTAAGGAATAATACGTACAAACAGACAAATAATTTTGTAAATAAACGTTGACATTTATACGCCATTCGTTATTATTATAATAAAATAGTATTATTTCAGAATAAACGAAGAGACTACTGTGTGTGTGTTTATATTATGCACGTAAAAATTTATGAATTTAACTTGATATTTCGACTCTAAAAAGAAAACTCCATCATTTCTCTTTCCACTTCACCGAAATGCTTATGTTGATCAAATATGAAACAAAAAACAGTTTCATACAACTTTTAACTAATTCTATACGTTACTGAAATTTAAAATAAATGATATTCACTCGATTTATAGTATTGTTGATAAGTCAGTGATTTTAATTTAAATAATTTCAATTTATGCTAAACGCAAAAGACATAAAACTAAAATTCTATAAAATAACAATTATTTATACAATTAATGTTCATTCTTTACACTGATCTTTATCGAAATATATAAAAGTACGGTATAATGCAGATGATTATTTTAATTTCAACTCTAGCTTATTTTGATAATCCTGCTTCTTTTCTTTTTACATAACAAATACGTTTAAATTTTACGTTTTATTTATTTTTCTAAATAAGCTGCCATCGCGTGAGGTTACGTAAAAAAGAAAAATCGTTGAATTTATCACCGCAATAAAGTATCCAAATATAACGACTATGAAATATTTATTTAACTAACAAATAGTAAAATAATTATTATGCATTAAATTTGCAAACCAATTCAAAATATATGTTTCGTATATATTATAAAAGCCAAAGTTTAAAATAAAAAAAAAATAAAAAAAAAATAGTAATTAAGATTTTCCAAATGCATAAACATTCTTTCTTTTTTCATTCATTTTTCACTTTATTATTCAAAATAATAAATAAATAAATACAATTTTTCGATATCATATTAGTTGTTTAAAACATATCAATCATATTATTTTATTGTGACAATAAAAATTTACAAGAGAATATTCCATTATGCAAGAGTTTACCGATTTTAAAGTCAGTAAATCTTCTTGATGAGTTAACAAATTCTTGCCGAACTTAAATTTTGTTAGATAAGCCCTTAATAATATTGATCTAATCTTTTATATTGAAAAATAAATTACAGTTGTCACAAGTGATCTTCTCGGGAGCACACGAATCCAGCACATCCATGTCGAGCTCAATTCCTATATCAATGCACGTCTCCTCTTTTAAATATGGGAAGAAGGAAGTCTCGTCAGAAGAGTCCTCTTGTTCTCCTGATGCCAGGGTCTTCCCCGTGATATCCTTAATTATCTAGATTAGAAATAAATTGAGCTTTCCTCGAGTGTCGAAGTATTAAAAATCGCTTTTTGGTTTAATACTTAAACTTGTTGACTATTTCTTTTTTTGATAATCAAAATATAATTTACAAATTATCTTCTACTTAATAGAATTATCTTAAAATTTTATATTTTAAAGAGACGTAAGAGATATTAATCATTAGTAATTGTTCAAATTAAGAGATTATTATGCTTATGCTCAAATATTTTGTAATATATAAATTATCAATTCTAAACTAATAAGACATTGAAATTCTATTCACATCGTTTAATTGTGATAATTGACATAAGAAATTATGAATTATGGTCTTAGAAATTTCACGTATACATAAATTTTATTTATCAACAAATATAATAGCTCTTTCCTTTCATATATCAAAATGAAAGTCACAAAAATCTATTATTTATTTCATATAAACGTGCATTTACATTGATTATAGTCGCTCATTACTCTCTGAATTGCATAAAATTTAAAAAAAAAAAAAAAACTGTCAGAAATCATCCCAATTGCATTGCAAGAAAATATTTTATTATAATTATTGAAGTACAGCATGTTTTTATATTAATGAAAATACAGATTTATGTATTAAATCTATAAATAAATCTATAAATGTGAATTGACGGTACATTCAGTATTCACAAATATTCACGTAAATTCAATCAAAATCAAATAATATCGATTACATTATTAATAAAATAAAAAATTTATTATACGTGTCATTTTTCTTTTGTTCATTAAAATCAGCATGACTATGTATCCTAGATTCAAACCCATTTTATTAGTATGAAAATAAGAATAGTAAATTATCTTAATTATTTATGTCCATTAAATAAATTCTATTATTTACTTATTCTATTATTATTTATACTTATACTATTATACAATTCTATTATTAACTTCACTTATGTACTAAACAGTTACCTAATTTATACATACTATGTATTATTACACTTATAGATCATAAAGAAATTTTGTAGACATATAATATATAAATATAGGACAGAATAAAAAAAAAAATTTCAAAGCTATTCAAAACAATTTCTACGAATATATACTTCGTATCTTTTGAATCTCATAAGTAAAAATTCAAATAATACGTTAAGCTAGTTTAAATATAAATTCAATTTGTAATTAAATCATTTAATAAACATACATATTTAAAGATAAATTCTCAATGAATTTTTATTAAATTTTTGTAACAAATTAATTTATTCATTTATAAAAATTCTATAAAATAAATATTAAATTTAGATATTAAACATGAATTAAAGTTAAAAAAACTATAGCAAAGTGTTTTTTTTTTCTAAATTACCTGTTGAATAAAAGTTCAGTTTATAAATTATTAGACTTTTTTTTTTAATATAAACTCAACCGAATATTAAGAAAGCTACAAGAATTTAAATTTTACACACGAGTTTTTAAATGATTAAATCATACCTGCTCAGCAATTCTCTTCCAATCTTCGTAAAGAATTTCATATTTTTCTGCTTCTCTGTTGAAATTCATTACAACTGTTTCCATTCCACATATACTTAGAGGTAATGGAATGATCTAAGAATGAAAATTTTTCGAATGCTTCTAAAAACTTTGTTGCAATACACATTATATTTGCAACGTAAATTATTTCATGCAAGCGAATAAGCAATGTAATGAACTCATATTTATAGAGACGTAATGGAATAAAATTTGTTTTTCTATTTTACACGGAAAAATCTCAAATATATAGATGGATGAAAATACATAGAAAAAAAGATATTAATTGGAAAATGGAATAAAAAAAAAATGGAAAAAATGGAAAATTCCTAATTACACTTGCTTTCTGGCTTTTTTCCCTTTTACGTACCTTGTCCTCCTCATCGTTGTCCTCATTGATTTTCTTTGAATTATCCCGATTATCAATTGTATCAGTATCTGCAAATATACGTACTTTTCAGTTTTACAATTTCTTTTTTTATCTTTTCTATCTTATTATTTGCGATTCATTATTTTCACCATAATATCATTGTAAATTAATTTCTTAAATACTTCTTTCGAAGCTTGTACTCTTTTTATTTTATAATAGTTAAAACATTAAAACTCTGTCATTTAAGAATCTTTTTTTTTAAAGTTACACATCTGCTTGTTTACAAATAAAAATAATTGAGGCTAATTTAATTTAATATAAAATTATATAATGTAATTACTTTAAAGAAACTTGATTAATTTATTGGAACGAGTGTATATGATATAGAATGAAAATTTTTAATATAAATTTTTTTACAATATATATATATATATATAATTATTAAAATTAATTTTTAAGTAAAAAAAAAATAATTTTTAAATACAGTTTTAATCATCATATAAACTTGATTTGGGATAATCTTTTTGTATTTCACTAACAAAATGTATTATTATACTATTTATCAATTGGGAAAACCATTCTCTTAAGTGAAGTATATAAAAATCTTAAATAACTTAATTCCAGGTATATAAAACGAGAAGTTTTGTAAAAATTATATTTTATAATTCTGTTCATTAATTATTTAATTTAATATAAGGTTTCGTCAATAAACCTGACATATTTTATGATAATAAAGTCTATATGATAAAATAATCTATTTTAAATAATTAATGTGAAACTAAATTTTATATTTTATATGCACTTATAATGTTGAAACTATATTTCAGTAATTAAAATATAAACATTAAATTATTTCAAAAACATAATAAAAAATCATTTTATATTTATTTTCAATAATATAAATGAATTATATATATGCATATATATATAGATATGTGTGTGTGTGTGTGTGTGTGTGTGTGTGTGTATACACATATATATTCAAATTTTATTTCAAATATAATAAAAACTATACATACGCAAAAAATTATGAAATATTATAAATTTGAATTTAAATTAAAATAAGATGTATGCAAAACTTTTACTACATACTATAAAGTTATTTATAATTAATTTGAATATACTTTCAATATTATTTCCACATACTTTTGCATATTTCTTATTTCAAATGCATTAAATAGATACTCGCAGGCAAATATACAAAATTATATTTAAGATTTTGATTGCTTTACCATTTACTAGGTAATCGAATCTATTGAGCAATTAAGATAATATAGAATTCTATTTATTTTCATATACAATATTTCAATCCCAATAATTTTCGAATATTTTTTATTTTAGAAAACAATATATATGTGATAGATTAAAAAGCTTTTATGTAAGAGATATTACTAAAACGATTAAACTTTGATTAAATTAATTCTCAATTTATTCCTCTAACAATTATTTTGATATATTTAAGTATTAAACTACAATCAATATGACTGATAATTTTACACGAATTTGTCATTAGATATCTACTAAATATTTTCCATAAAGGGTATTCGCGAAAAAAATTAATTTATCCTACCTATTACTACAATAGGTGAAATTTATAAATGGATAAATGTTGAATGTCGAATTAATAATTTTATTTAGGGCTGTTTAAACTTCCACTTCTTTAACATATTTTGCATTTAATTTAAAAATCACTTTTAAACTTCATGCTTACTTAAAGTTAGTTTTGTCATGTTATTTGAATAAAACTTTTCTTCAATAATCAATATTTAAAATGATTATGATTGTTAAACTATTGTTATTATTTCTATTAACTAGTATTTTTCTTTATAATTTTAATATTTAATAGTAATGCGTTTTTGTATTAATTATATATATATATATATATATATATATATATATATATGTAGCTGTATTTAAAATTTTAATTAATTATGAAATGTAATTACTTGTTCTAAATTATTTGTTGTGCTGTCGTGAATGCTGTATAATAATAAAGATTATATGAAAAGAAAAAAAAGTTTGAAAGATCTAGCTAATGATGATTTCAAATAATGCAATATATTAGTTTAAAAATGTCTTACTTATAAAGACTAAAAATATTGCATATTATACCAAACATTATTTTTCACAAGAGTATATAATAGAATAAAATTACTTAAATCAATTTTTTAAAATTATATTTTATTTTGAATTAACAGATAACTAAAATTTTTTAAATAATCCAATTCGTGTACTTAACTATTTTCTTATTCTTTCTATAGAAATTGTATTTTTTAATGTATTTTTTAAATATAATTTTTAAACATTATATTCTTAAATGTTTATTAACTACATGCATTAGTTTTTAAATAACAGATTTAAAAGCTTATTTAAAAATTGTGAAACATACATGAAATATATGTTTCTGTAATTAATTTGTTTCTCACTTTCTCATTATATATATACTTATATATACATACAACTTTGATTAAATTTTAATAGAAATATTAGATTTTATAGTGTTGGAAAATTTTATATATCAAATACTATAAAAAAAAATTTATGGTATGAATAATTAAATGACCACCTGTATTTTAATGAGAAAAGTTTTGTAAAAAGTTTACTAGTACATATTCGGAATACATTTTTACTTATTCTCCATAGTAAAAGAATGCAACAATGAATATAATTTTAAGAAAATACCCTAATAAATCATATATTGCAAACTTACAAAAAGAACTTATAGAATTATACTGGTTTAGTTAAATAATATAATTAACTTATAATAGAAATATGATTCGTATATATTTTTAAAGTATTAACATAGAAAGCAGATTTGCCGCTTCTAAATCAGGACAGAGTGGAACTTTCATTAAACAATAAGCCATTATTAAAACAGAAAAATCAATAATAATAATCTATTACAAGATGCTGAATACATAAAAATGATCCATTAATAATTTAAAAAATTGAATAATAGCGCATAAATTCATAAATATTTACGCGAATCCATATTAATTAAAAGTAATCACATGAATATGATTAAGCTTTATTCAATTGACTTTTAAATGGTATAATATTTTTCGCGAAAACAAAAAAAAAACAAATTCGCTATTTATGTTTTAAACCTTGTGTGTTTGACATTCAAATAATGAATTATTGTTTTATCTATAAATCTCATAATGATCATAATGAATTTATTACGAAAATCCAGTAAACGTTACCTTATTGATTAACACTGCTAAAAAAAATTTGATTCATAGTGGCATATAAAATTATTGAAAAAGCAGGATGAATTTAGAATTTGTACGAATCGAGATAATTTTATAATGATTGATACGTTAATTTATTTATGGTTAGTGCAGTAAGTTACGTAGTGATAAGAGATTGATATTGTTCATCTTTTTATTTAAATTTATCACGTGTTTAATAAATATTGTTCAAATTGCATTTAACTTTTATTGTCAATACGCGACATTAAATATAAGTCCCTTATATTTTGCCTGAAGAATAATGTTGAATCATTTTAAATATCATATAACCACGTCATTTTATACGTTAATACATGCACAGTGTAAAAATAACTTGAATGATTTAGACTTGAAAACTTACTTGAAAAATTTGCTTTTTTAGATAATACTGACGCTTAAGATTAAAATATGGTCTTTCGAAGAGTCAAAGGAGTGCGAAGGTATCTTAATCAATAGGTGGAATCCGAGTCAGAATTGAAATAAGGATTTCGAGAAAGCCCTTCTCTGACAAGCCTAGAATTTCCGTAGCCATGGGAAAGCTGTTTTTAGTCGCAGTTCCACCGAACTTGGACTGCCCAATGATCGTTGCGACAATTTACTATCCGAGACTGGTATCGCCTACCTCAAAGGTTAGCAAAACGCATTTCCAATGCCCAGACAACCGGTCCAAATTCGCTTTCTGATAAAGTACGCGCTCGTAAAGTAGCCCCACGAATGAATTCTCGACTGATCCTACAATCTTCTAAAAAGCCCATAAAATTTGTTTAGTGTTCCATAAAGCGATTTTCCACTCCTACTGGCTAGGAAGAGGAAGGGAGTATAGTTTTATGTCGGGAACAGTCGCCAAGCGTAAACCCTTAGAGTTAACTTCGACGCTTTAACCGCGAGATTAAGTGACTGTTCAATGCATAACCGTGTACATACGGATGTTGGCTTAGCCGTTTGAGCTTTAAATCGAGTCTGTTATTTCATGTTCAGCTTATATAAATAGATCGAGTGATAGGGACGAAAATGATAAACTATTGCATGTATAATAATATTTCGAGAACTTATCATTTTTCTCGCTGTTAGGACATTCGACTAAAGTAAAGTGTAACTACGCGACTCAATTAGTTTAATAATAAATAGGCATCGCTTATGTGCTTATGCCATTATGTAATTAGAACAATGCTAGATATTAGCATTCTTCTTTTTTTTTTCTGAATGATCTATTAGTATTAATCATGATCGTACGTCTACTTTTGCCCAGAATTTTAATGATATCAGTAGTTGGAAATAATAAGTAATTATATGCATTCAAGGAGCTAATGATTAATATATATTTGAAAAATAATTTTCCAAACTAAGATAAAATATTCTTGATAATATAAATTATTCTTTTAAAAGCCTTTCAATATTGTCTGTAATTTGTTTGTAATTTTAACATTATTTCATATTTTGATAAATTATATTAAGCATCGAGATAACTATTTCTTAGATTGGAATGTGAAGATAATTATTTCAATGATTTATGATGAGATTACCACGATTAATTAACTATTATAATTACAACCAAATTCAACTTTGTTTGAGATTTATTTTAGATCTTCGCTCAGTAAAATCGGTGCACTAATCTTTACAAATAAACTTTTCATCGATAAACTTCTCTCTGATTAGAAACATATCTTATCGAGAAAAATGTTTTTTTTTTTTTTTTTTTTTTTTTTAAACGAATACGTAATTTCTTTTCACTTTTCTATAAAGTATAATTGCTTTGTCTTTAAATCTTTAAACAAACAGAAAACAATTTACTTTATAGCTGCAAATAAATTAATATATTTTCGTTGTTGCTCTGACTT